CGTGAACGCAGGTGACAGAAGCGCTGCAGTCACAATCAGGACTCGTCCCAAATACTGTCTGTGGGGTGACTCCATTGCGCTGAAAGCTTTTCTCGACGGGACATTAAAACACCTATAGGATGGCGTTAGAAACGAACTGGAAATGGCTTCAATTGTTTGTGTGAGGAGCGGGGAGTTGAGCAAGCAGCATTTGATGGAGCTTGGGACGGGAGAGTGTATGTCACTGAGGAGGAGGAGGAGGAGGAGGAGGGGGCGCCGTCAATGTGGCCAAACATCGCCTGAGGCGCTTGTTTTTTAACACGATGAAAAAGTAGCAAGGCCTGTCAAAACTTTCTATATTCCTAAAACTGCATGTGATAATCTTTGACCTCCACCAATAGTGGTCATGCTGAATGGGCATAAATCTGGCTATGAATAAATCTAAACCAATAGGCTACTTTCTCAACTGGGACGCAATATTGACAACAAGGGCATTGACTATATTTAGATCTTTTTCACATCAAGTGCGCTGAGCAACACGTGACTAACAATGTTACACGCCAGTTTTCAATGTATCTATTTTTATTATCCACACACATTAGATTATTTTTGTCTAAGTGACCAACTGATATGCAAAACCGACGTTTAATTTATTGTAGGCTATTTGTTTATATTTGTTGACACAACAAAACATTACATGCATTAGCCTATACATTTTTGGGGGTTTATTTTATTTTATTTTAAAACTATTAGCACCATAATGTTTATGCAAAATTGTTTTACGATCTAAATAGCGAATTTATTTTAGTCTTTGTTTTGGAATTTAAGTTTGTTTTTCTTTTGAGGTGTTGTAATGGCATTCTGTTGTACTGTTTTTACAAATGATGCCATTTATCGGTAGACCTAATATTAAAAGAACCGATAACTGATAAGACAAGTATGAACAATGAGATAGATAGATAGATAGATAACTACCAGTTTCGGTAAATTCAACCAACAGAAATCAACCTAATTTAAATTGCAGCTTTAAACTTGACATAGAACTAAAGTTGTGCCAAAGTGACAATCAGCAATGATTAACTTTTTTATCTTTATTATTTATAAATTAATTATTATTAATTAATGTATTAATGATTAACTTTACAATTAATCCAGAATGCAGCAGCAAGATTAATTTTTAATGAGCCAAAACATCACACCTTTGTTTAACAATTTGCACTGGCAATAGCTGCTTGCATAAAATTCAAGGCATTAATGTTTGCCTACAAAACCACCACTGGCTCTGAACCCTACTTCAGACTTATGTGCCCTCTAGAAGCTTGAGTTCTGCAAGTGAACGTCGCTTTATTGTGCCATCTCAAAGAGGCACAAAATCACTTTCACGGACTTTTAAATTAACTGTTCCCTCCTGGTGGAATGACCTGCCCAACTCAATCCGAACAGCTGAGTCCTTAGCCATCTTCAAGAATCGGCTAAAAACACATCTCTTCCATCTTTATTTGACCCTCTAACTCTAGCACTCTCTATTCTAATTCTATTCTTTAAAAAAAAACGTGCCCCTTTTAGACTTGCATTCTATTCATTTACTAACTGGTTGTTTTCTTTAAAAAAAAACACTAGCTTCTCTAATCTTTTGTATTCTGTCTCTTTGTTTTATTTTTATTTATTATACAACTAACAAAAGCAAAAAAGGCCTCTAACACTAGCTTGCTCTATTTCTATTTCTATTTTGTTTTCTTTTTATTTATTATATAATAAAAAAAAACTTGCTACGTGTACTGCGTTAAGCTAACTGAGACTTGTTATAGCACTTGCATATTTTTGCTCTCTTGTTGATTTTGATTGCTTCCATTGTCCTCATTTGTAAGTCGCTTTGGATAAAAGCGTCTGCTAAACGACTAAATGTAAATGTAATGTACGTGTTAACCACTTTGAATTTAATTGCTGATGAATAAAATCGAATTGATCAAAATTATGAATTAATAATTCATTAATAATTATGAAACTCACAAAATCAAGTAAAATGCTATAAATTAATGGATGGAAAGCTATCATTTTCACTGCCCAGTGTGTAAACTGCTGCATCGCTATTGCATTGTATCCTAGAACCTGTGATTTGTTACTTATAATTTGCAGGGTGTGCATTCTTTGTATTTATTTATTGATCTGTTTTTCTTGCTGTCTATTTGTTGTTTGTCTGTTTGTTTATGAAGTAGGCCTATTATCCGACCTGTCTGCACTGCAGAACTTGTGACAAGACATTTTGTTCCTCGGTAAACATGTATAAGCTAAACTAAACTAAAAGTCATTCATATGGGCTACAATAAGCAGGGCAGCAGCAGGCAGGCGTGCGGTTCTTCATGAACAATGCGAGGTGCGTGTGCGCGTGCATGTGTTCGCCCATCCTCCCACTCCGAATCAGTTCAACAGTTCACCGTGCAGCCCTAGTGACGTTTCACTTTAATTAAGCCCACATTCATCATTTTCCCCGACACTCTTAATGAGAAGGCTTTGCTGACTGTTGCTGCAGATAGCCTAGAGCACTCCTGGAAAATAGACTTATTTCGTTTGTTTGTCTATACACGTCTGAGTTTGTGCGTATAATTAGTCCCATAACTGACCATGATGGAGAGGTTGTTGTCAAGGCTCATTGAAAGTGATACGCAATTATATAGTGGGCCAACAAATTATGCATAATGCACATAATAAGTTTGTTCAATAGACAAGCTGTCAGTGTTTTTTCTTTCGGTCTTTTTAATCTAGCTGCAACGTAGGCATGATGACATGATACAAGGATATTTGAACATACTGATGAATATATGAATAAACCAGAATATTTGAGGCATTAGCAGTTTACAAGATTAAGGGATTATCGTGCTGGTGGTCAGCACTATGCACAGCAGGTGAAAAAAACTCTTTAACTGATCCTAGAACGAGCATCTTGCTTCTTAGCTTTATTATTATTACTATTAACAGTAGTAGAACTAGGATTAATGTCATGCAATTGAGTTAAATCCACCCTTAACCATCCTTAACCCTGAATCCTGACAACAGTTCTTGGTTTTTGGGCTAATCACCTCCTATTCTCGACGATCAGTTCTTGTATTGGAGCTAATCACCTCTACTCCTCTTCTTAAGCTCTGGCAACGAAAAGTGCATTAGCATTTTGCCATGGCGTGTATATCTAAGTGGCTTAAAAAGTGATTTGAAGTTGATTTGTATATAAAAGGCGTCCCTTTAACCGGATTGCCACTAATCTGCGCTGCATCGCATGAGTGTTTCAGGAAAACCTGTTTAAGATCCTTCAAGAGTATAAGAGCAGGCTAAGCCCAGAAAAGCAGCCTTCATTACCACTAACAAAAGCGCACTTCCTTCAGTTAGCCATTTACTTCAATCCCTCAGAGGAAAAAAAAGTGCTCTTTCTCTCTGATTCTTTCATGGCGACATCAAACACCTTATATGTGTTTTTAAAAAGCTGATTTAATATTTGCCAAATGCTCATAACTCTTTGCGCAGACGACACCATAAATGTATGGAGTCAAAACTGACAGCAAAATACCATTTGATTCGTGCCTTTACTGACCACATGCGATCAAGGGAGGTCTGCAGTCCAGATGGTGAACAGTTTTATCTTGACTCTTTCTACATTGGTGTCATAATTTAAAATCAAACGTGTTGAGTTATTTATCTGTAACGATTTCTTATTTTATTCGTTATCTAAAATGTCAAAAATGGTAATGGTAAATTAGCTACATTGGTTAAATTAGGCTACCATTAGAAGTTGTAAGACTGTAAACAATTTTAAGATTTATGCGATTCATTTTAAGGTTAAAACATATGTAACGCTCTCTTTTGTTGTTACCCAACGTTTTATAAAACGTTTGCTATTTACTTTTTTAAATTGAATGTTTAAAATGAAACGAGGATAGGGTGGTGATGAAATAATTATTGTGAACAAATACATTTGATTACCATAATAAATTCACGTCCACATTGTAAATTCTCCACGTTTTCTATTACTGTTACAACCGTATCGTTACAATCCAACAGTCTCATTGAAGTTGAGAGAGTCACACAGTTTAGAGATAATTAGTGGATTTTTAATTTGTGGCATGCAAATATGGAAATATATCGAAATATGAGACACACAACACCAGGGAAAAAAAAAAAAGACGTTGAGTTACAGACTTTGAAACCAAAATGTGTTACACTGGTCAGTTTAAACCTAGAAACTGAAGCAGCATTAAGCGCTGTCCGTATCTATAATATTCTCCTTTTCATTTAACCCAGATTTTTCACCATAATTATAGCATGACGTTTCCAATTGATGTGCTTTATTTAGGCTAAACAGTACAAACGAGTGAGTGCAGAGCGCAAGTATGGACATCTATAAATGTTTTTTTTTAACGCGCAAGAGGGAGGAGACGCAGTTAAGTGAGTAATGCATGCAAGCACTCCGGGTAAAAAGGCCAGTTTAGATGTTTCATTTTCCCCTCTTACTGTAACTGCGTCGCGACACCATCCACGCAGAGGGACAGAAGTGGCGCGCGCGCACATCCACTGCAATGAGAAGGAATACATCTGCTCTGTGTATACGGAAGACGCCTGAAGGAACTGCATTTTATATGAATTCGCTTGAATGTATCTGAGGAATCTCCGGACGAGGATTACAAAATGATATGTAATTTAAAGCGCCTATAACGGATCCTTTCTTCATCTCCTCTCCTTTATGTCGGGTTTTGCCTCCAGTATTCATTGTGCCCAATGAGAAGAATTAAGCTATCCGTCCATTCAGTTCTACTCAAAAGGAGGGAGGAAAAAAAACAGAGGGAGATGAGAGCAGCAAATCCCTTTTTTATTCATCTTGCAGCGTTCAATAAGTGAACAATGTGTCGCCTATCAGTCACCGAGGGGATCAGGTCTACGGGACTGTCCCACGCGCTCAGTGCTGAGAGCAGAGCATCACTAACACACAGACTGTAAGAGCAGCAGCAGCAACAGCAGCGGCACCAGCACTGGCATCCCATCCAGGACCCTTTCTGTGACTTCTACACTGATTTTATGAATAAACATTGACCCACGCTGTCAGTCGCACTGGAATGTGGAGTGGTAAGTGGATGCTTATTGCACCAAAATCACTTAATATGTTTTTTTATTCCATTTTAGAATGTTATCTTATAAAGAAGCATTTTAGGCTGTATAGGGTTCGCGAGTTACTGTATGGTTCTTTGGAGACTATAAATTTGGTTAACTATTTTTTAGAGAAGCGTTTTCATGTTCTTTAAAACAAGGTTTTCGAAAGAACTAGAAAATAAAACGTTTTTTAAAAGAAAAATGTATGGCACTCGGGCTATTTTGTTCTAATTTTCTCTCATTTATTTATTTTTTAAATGTAGGCTGATATTTATTTATTTAGTGCTGGCTGATATCTGAGATTTTTGTTGAGTCATATCTACGATTACAGAACAGTATTTTGACATTAATTGAAAACTACCTACACATATGTAACCAAAATCGTATTTTCTGTATATTAAAAATGTCCTTGCGTTAAAAAGCGATAACATAAATATAATTCATCATTTCTGTGCGCTACACTGGTTTTGCTATTGTTATTAAATTCATAACTGTTAAGTTGCTCACTAGCTCCTCTAATATAGAAAGATCCTGACATCGTTTATTATTGCAGGAATCTTATTTGAGGTTAATTGGTTAACTTTGCCCTTTCAGATATCATGCGGGTACTCGCGTTGCTTCTCGCAGTCAAAGCGGCATGTGTCCTCCTGGTCTCCTCTCTCACTGGCACAGTGGCGGTGAACAACAGCGGCCGGTGGTGGTAAGATACAGCAGGCCCATAATATATGGCATTTAGTACATACAAGATATAGGACATTCATCCTAGAATGTCAACAACCAATGCTTTTTCCTTTGTAGGCTGGTGCACAATAATGGTTGAAGTGAATCTGTCTTTAGGCTACCAAACATTTGCACGCGCAGCTGTATTGTAATTTATCCCTTTAAATTTTAGAAAAAGAAAAATATATTTTTGTATATTACTGATATAATAAAGTAGCGCGAAGTTATGCTTAAATTAGAGAAGTCAAATGAGAAGTCAGTTCCCAAATAAATCAATGCAACCTCAGTTTACGCCTGTTTACGCGCGCGCTCTCTCTCTCGCGCGCTCTCTCCCTCTCGGTTTCTCTCTGTCATTTTGACAGTGTGGCTTGAACACAGGACAAGATTCTTCAATCCAATGTGGGATAAATTAAATGCGGATTTATTTTATGACTGGGAGCAGTTCCTTTCCAGTTCGTTTTCAGGGTCAAATTCGTGTAATGTGCTGAGCATTCCGGAGTAGGCTAAAGACACGACTTATGAGCCAAAGCTGTATGTGTCATAATAACGTTGAAAGGAGAATTAAAAATGACACATGCTGATGTAAAGCTGTATGTATATGTCATAACAAGGGCAAAAGGAGAATTAAAAATGATAGGCTACACGCTGATACACTACTTTTTGTTTTGTTTTTTCTTAATCTATATAAATGCATGATTTTATATTATATATGCTTTAAATGCATGTGTTATTTAGAGGAATTATACAATTCCGTATCTGATATGTTCTTTGAAAAGTTTTGTATTAAGCAGTTTCCAGATTGATTTCAGTTTAAAGGCAGAGTAAGTGATTTTTCAAAAACACTTTAGAAAACTGATTCGGCCGAACCGCAAAACAAACTTGTAGCCAATCAGCAATAAGGGGCGTGTCTACTCGTGATGTGGAGGAGAGAGCTTTCAGTGCATGGGATGGACATTAGCTGAGCCGAGCGACAGAAAGATAGAGATGGCGGATAAAAAACAAAAGAGGAAAACGTCTGCGGAACGATAAGGCAAGAAGTAGGACCCGTGTAAATATCGGATCAGCTTTCCAGCGCTGGAGAGAACTCAAGGAGCGGAGGCCTGCGATCGGACGCCGAGGTTGCTTTGTTTCTTCTCAATAGGTGAGTAACAACGTGTGTCTACAACAGCTAAAGTCTGCCTACACTGGACGCGATCAAACGACCGTTGAAAACCATTTGAAATTTGTGTCAGCACGTCATAAATAGAACCTGGCAGCAGTTTTCTGTCGGGGATTTGTTGTGCCGCGCCGCTCACGTCCGTAGACATGGTGTAACATTGGTTTTGCTTTGTTTCACAGAACTAATCGTTGCCTGGGTTGCGTACGCATGTATGGGGCAGAGCTATCAAAATAGGGGCAAGACCCTTTTGGGGTAGGGGCGTGTTTGTTTTGGTGATTTCAAATATCAACACTGGCTACCAGAAATCACTTACTCTGCCTTTAATTGGACACAACTTACAGTTTGGACCTGTTGCAGCCTACTGCCAGTTGCATTTAGAAATAGGCATACATTGGCTTATGTTCGATATTACATAATTAACATTTTATATTTATTTGTTGTGATAGCTCCTTCCAAGCATTCTAGTGAAACTATTAATTTTTCAATTAAAATTTTTGCACATCACATGTCTGTGATTCTCATCTCTCAAACTAAAAAGGCAAATCAATGAGAAAATTACGAGAAAAGTCCCAAGATCTCGACTGTTTTTGCATCTCATGCCAATCAGATGAGAAAAGACCTTTTTCCAACTTACCCAAGTCAACCTTCCTGTTTCTCCACCAGGGGTATTGTGAATGTGGCATCCTCAGGCAATCTCCTCACCAACTCCAAGAATGTGCAGTTGGTGTTGGACCCCAGCCTGGCGTTGCTAAGTCGTCGTCAGAGAAAACTGATCCGGCAAAACCCGGGCATCTTGCACGCCATTGCAGCAGGCCTGCATACAGCCATCAAGGAATGCAAATGGCAGTTTCGTAACCGCCGCTGGAACTGTCCGACCACCCACAGCCCCAATGTCTTTGGCAAAATTGTCAACCGAGGTGAGCATGGCTTCTCAGAGTGACATTATGAAAGATTTAAACCACACACACTATTCATATCTCATACAGTGAAATAGGAGAGCATGGAATTACACATTAATATTGTCTGTATGGAGACACAGCATAACAGAGATTCTACGTTGTGCCTATTGTTTTGTTAGGTTGCCGTGAGACTGCATTTGTGTTTGCCATCACAAGTGCTGGTGTTACTCACGCCGTGGCCCGGTCCTGCTCTGAGGGAGCCATCGAGTCCTGCACCTGCGACTACCGGCGCCGGGGTCCTGGAGGGCCAGACTGGCACTGGGGAGGCTGCAGCGACAATGTGGAATTTGGCAGGATGTTCGGGCGAGAGTTTGTAGATTCCAGTGAGAGGGGCAGAGATCTACGGTATCTGACCAACCTGCACAACAATGAGGCAGGGAGAATGGTAAGAGACAATCAAAAGCCACTTGTCTCCTCCAAATGCAGATGTCATTAATTAATCTATCAATACATGGAGTTTCCCAAAATACAGATGGAAAGCTGCTAAAATAACAATTATCAATTTTCAGCCTAAAATGGCTATTTTTATTATTCAAATTAATTTACTAATGAATTATACTAATGAACTTTACTAATGAAATATTAATTAACAAATTAAATTAGTTTAAAATGAATTTAACATGGCACATTTACAGATTGTTTTTATCAAAGTCTAAAATGAGTAAGAAAAAAGACAAATGATATTATATTATATGTTTTTCCCATTAATATATAAATATAAATACAATAATTCAGGTTACAATTCAGATAGAATGTGCAGAATTTCTATATAAATATTGAATTTATTAATTATACTTAAATGCCATTAATATCATATTATCAATACACTTATTTGGATCGATGGATGATGGATCAACTATATATATTATATATAATATATAATCCATCATCCATCAATCCAATTAAGTGTATTGGTTAAGAATTTCAATATAAGTGTATAAATTATTTTGCACAATATATATTAATTTTCAATTCTCTCCCTACAGACAGTCGCATCAGAGATGCAGCAAGAGTGCAAGTGTCATGGGATGTCTGGGTCCTGCACTGTGCGAACGTGCTGGATGAGACTGCCCAGCTTCCGTGTAGTGGGAGACTTCCTGAAGGACCGTTTTGACGGCGCCTCTCGAGTCGTGTACGCCAACAAAGGCAGCAACCGTGCGTCCCATCGAGCCGACCCTCGCCACCTGGAACCGGAGAACCCAGCACATAAGCTCCCTTCGGCTCGGGACCTCGTGTATTTTGAAAAGTCACCCAACTTCTGTTCTTACAATGGCAAAACAGGCACGCATGGCACATCGGGACGTACCTGCAACAGTTCATCGCCGGCGCTGGACGGATGCGAGTTGCTGTGCTGCGGAAGGGGATACAAGACTCGAATGGAGCAGATCACAGAAAGATGCCACTGTACTTTCCACTGGTGTTGTCATGTGAGCTGCCTCAACTGCACCAGTACACAGACTGTCCATCAGTGTCTATGATCAACACACAATCAGACAAATTGACAAACTGGATACTGAAAGGGGCTGTTGGGGTATCTGGAAGACATAAATCAACGAATAAACATGTTAAGTTTAAATACTGAAGAAAAGAGATAAGACAGCAAGGTTAAAAGGGACTAAACAATCTGTTGGTTGAACAGGCAAGTATAATGTATTAACTACTGAGAAAAGTTCAAAAATACATGTGCAGAACTCTTAGCTGATGGTAGTCCAAAAACACAATATTTTGGAGATGTTACTGCAACATAGCTTTAAATCTAAAGAAATGGGTCGAGAACCACTATGCACTACATGAAAAAGCATTCATGTAGACAGTTTGAAATTCAGCATGCTGAAGCATTAGTTCTGAGGTTCTAGTTTGTCTTCTCTTCTCCTGATCTCCGTCTCTGGTACTCTGGGGAACATGGAAGCTAGAAAGTAGTAACTGGACACAGTTTGACAGATGTTCCTGTGGTTAGCGAACCACAAGCATGCTCTCTCATAAACCAGTGCAAAACTCTAACAAGAGGGCGGTTCTTTAAAATATTTTAACGTTTTGTTTTCTTTAGCTGCAGTCCTACTCGTCTCACATAAAACTGTGTGAAGTGCTTCTCAAGGGATGGGGCTTCCTTTTCCGATTACTATGTAGCGGAATCCCGAACTCGGCTCAACCTCTTGTGATTTCCCATTCGGACCTGCCATACTTCCCGTCATTGCTTTGAGTCTCCTGCCATTTTTTAATACCATTTATTATCATGTGGTATACCATGTTATTGTACTGATGGAAAAGTATTGGGAAGAGAAAAATTAAGATTGACCCGAGATTGACTCGTCAATTCGGCTCTGACAGAAGCACGTTATTTCAGAAACTCTTTTGGGAGAGAAGACTTCTGTTGGAAGTTGTCAAAGAGACTACATCGATTACGCACAAGTACATACTAGTTTTAAAAAAGTGTGTAAAGATAATCCTGTAAATGCCCTGCTACCTAGTTTACAGTGGACAAACAGTTCACATTTTTGAAACTGTATTTTGTATATCAGCTAAAATAACCAAAATGTTGTAAATATTATAAATGGATATGATCTATATATTTATGCTGCAACTTGCAATGTGAGAAAATGATTTAATCTGAAAGTGGGGTGAATCATTATTTACAATTTTAGGAGTAATTCCATCCAGTTGTGTGCTAACTTATACCGATGATCACAAATGGATGATCAAATTGAGGCCACATACATCTCAGAGACACGATTACTTTGTCAAATGCCTGATTTGCTTGTCTCTTGACACTTGTGTTTTATATGCACTGAACACCATCTTTTAATATTGTGAATGAAAAGTATTTATTATTGTATGATGGCTTTTTTTTTTAGAAAAGAAATGCTGATAAAATTAAATATTTTAGCTCAGTTTAGAAAAGTTGTTTTCATATAGAGTAATAGCACAATAAAGTTTTTATTTTCATTATTTGTGTTTTCAGAGAGCCACTCATTTCCTAACAGTGCTCACAGTTTGTGTTCAATAACAGGTTTGTCTTTCCATATGTTCCAGAGCGTATTCTCCTCAGCTTCATTTGTGATCCATCAATCATTTCTCAGAACCGCAATCTGTTATGACAAGGTGTGTCTAAATCACTTAACCTAAAATCAACAATGTGAGTGTGCAAGTATATCCGTTCCTCTAAACATCATTCCCACCACTAATAGCACAAGAGCAGCCCTCTTCTTCGAACAGTCATGCACCCTAAATCCACAGTAACCGCTGAGGGATTTTGGGCAGTGGCGTAATACAGCGTTAAATCGGTGTGTTTTCACGACACTAGAGGTTTTGCTTAACTTAATATCAGAAACAAAATAAAGAAATGGTATTAGAAATAATGACAGGCTGCGTTGCCCCCGCCGTGCTGGCGAGGCCAGTGCAACCACAAGAGTTTGGATGAAGGCAGACGATTCTTTCTCTCACCCACCACAACATATCGCAGGGCCACTGAAGGTCAGCAGGATGGAGCGCTGCACCACCGCTGTCGTCACAACCGCATCCCAGAATGCAAAGTGATAGGAGGACAAAAAGAGAAATAGGATCTGGAATGCTGACAGGATGAAACTCACAGATAACTCTCAGATAATTGATAGAAAGAAAAAAAAACAAAGATTAAAAAATAAAAAATAAGACTAAAATATAGCTTAAATGTAAATGTTGTACTTCTATGTACAATATGTTCAATTATAAAAAATATTGGTCAAAAGTTTAGAATAATTATGATTCTTTAATGTTTTTTGAAAGAAGTCTCTTATGCTCGCCAAGACTGCATATATTTTATGAGAAATGTAGTAAAAACAGTAATATTGTCAAATATTATTACACATTAAAATAACTATTTTCTGTTTTAATATATTTTAAAATGTGATTTATTCCTATGATGCTAAGCTGAATTTTCAGCAGCCATTACTCCAGTCTTCAGTCTCACACGATCCTTCAGAAATCATTCTAATCTGCTGATTTGGTGCTCAAGCAACATTTCTTATTATTATCAATGTTTAAAACAGTCGTGCTGCCTAATATTTTTGTGGATCCTTGATACAGATTATTCAAAAGTTTGGGGTAAGTAAGATTTAAAAAAGACTTTTATAAAATAAGGACGCAATGAATTGATCAAAAGTGACAATAAAGACATTTATAATCTTACAAAAGATTTCTAAATTCTAATTCAATTAGATGCTGTTTTTTAAACTTTCTATTCATCAAAGAATCCTGAAAAAAATATTGAGCAAAAATACTGGGCAGCAAAAACTGTTTTCAAAATAATATTAAGAACCATTAATAATTGAGCACCAATAAGAACTGAACATCAAATCAGCATCACGTGACACTGAAGACTGGATTAATGGCCCCTGCAAAATCAGCTTTTCCATCAAAGGAATAAATTACATTTTAAAACACATTCAAATAGAAAACAGTGATTAAATGGCAATACAATTTCACAATATTACTTCATTTTTTATCAAATAAATGCCGCCTTGTTGAGCATAAGAGACTTCTTTCAAAAACATCTTATTTATTCCAAAATTTTGACCGGTAGTATAGGACAAAAACACTGCACTAATATATTTTTTACAATAAATTACCTTTGAAAAGCATAGCCTTGTGGGCTGCGCTCCGACATGTTGTGTAGTAGCGCCTCTGATGACCGAAGTTTGAATCCGAGCTCAAGGTCCAATCACTATCCTATCACTTCCTGTCTCTTTTCAACTGTCCTAACCAAAAAAATCAAACACACCCAAAAGATATAACCAGAAAAGCTTCCCTACTTGAAAGGGAAATAATAATGAATAAACTAAAAATAACAAATGAAACTTTCGTATCGTTTCGTATCGTAAACCGATCTTCGGCCTTACAGGAAGTTTCTGGATACATGCATGTGCATTACAAGGCAAAACAGTGCAAAAATACAAAGCATTAATAAAAATGGGAAAGATATAGTTAGAATAAGAACAGAAGGATAGAAAAGAGGGATAAAGAAGCAAAGTCAGGCTGCATTCCCAGGCACTGGTGGGATGAGGGAGGCGGAGGGTGGAGGACTACTGTCATTGTGGGAGTGCTGAAGAGTCACTGATAATTAGCTCAATTAGTGACAAAGGCAGTGTAATAAATACCGACTTAGTGTCTGGGTCCCTGCTGTCCACTCTCTACACGGCCTGTGATGCAGCCAGGGACTGACGGACAATTCATTAAACCGACAAAATACCCCACCGTCCAGGCGTGACGCTGCGAGTTAGCCCCCTACAGGCCCGGCCCATTGTTCTAATTGTCTGGGTTGGAGTCGCTTACTGGCCATCTCCTCCTCGCCCCCTCCTTCGTCCTCTTCTTTCAAAAAACCCAAGGAGTTAATGCCCCTACCTAACTCTGTAAGTAGGTGATCAGCAGGTTGGGGGAAGGAAAAAAATGGAAAGAGTTACTCGGGTGGGAGGGGTACGGTGGGATTAGGGTCTGAGGGTTGCCCGGGAGTGTGAAGACCGGCCCCGATCGGAATGTCGTAGAGATGAGTCCAGAAGCTCGGATGCGGGACAAAGCGAGAGTTAATTAGGAAAGATTGAAGGAGTTGGCGACAATGGGCCGCCACCCGAGTCGAGATGAAATTGCTTCCGCGGATTATTGGGGAGCGAGTGTGTGGGTTGCGGAGATGTGTGCACCGGGAGGGGTTCGAGCTGCCTTGGATTGATGGCTGCCCCTCTGGTTAGGGAATAGGGGACAGGGAAGGCTGACCGGCTGTTCCCACAGTCTGTTCTGCAGCAGCCACCTTTGACACACGGGCCTGCCAGGCGGCAAGCAGCGAGGGAGGCTGGGAAAGGGAGGAATCTCGAAACACAAGAGCTCTTAAAAGCATAAATTCATTTCGCTTTCAATGCCAATAAGGATCATGATGGATGTATGCAAACGACAGAGCCAAAAAAGCACAAATTCAGAGTCGCAGATTACGATAGATGCAAAACCACAAGCTGAAAACTCATTAACGCTTTACATCTCTATTTAGTAACATGGTAGAAAGAGTTTATGAATTGCCGTTTTCCTTCATTGGAGCGCTCTGCTCTTTTTCTAAAGTGGAGCAATAAAGTTTTAATTCAATAAGTGCCCTTGCGGAGCTCTGAAGAGCTTCGAGAAACTTAACCTTCCAGTCGTGGTTTGAAGCTAATAGAATAATGGCAAAAAATTTAATCACTTGAAATAAATCCAAAACAAAACCTCATTGGGTTGGACCAAGTAAGAGTTTGGCCAAGCAATGTTGTTGTAGAGCGACTACTTTCAATCCAAGGAAAGAAAAGAGTCACTTTAAACTCAAGGGAACAGCACAGAAAACAGGTACATGATATATGGACCACAAAAAAATGTGACAAGCAGCTTTTACCAAAAATTACAGAAGACTGTTTTCCCTCCTCGAGCTTGGGGCCTATAGAAAGGGTTGAAGTACAGGCTGCCGGGCAAAATGGACCAAAGAACGTATATGGAATGTGAGCAAAGTTCGGGTCACCATGCTGAATAG